AATAAAATATCAAGTTCGGGTTTAATATCCCCTCCCCCCCATATTATCACCTATTTATACACAAGACACACGTTTGAATATGTTAAATGACAAGATTTTTAAATACCTAGATCGTGACACACTTTTAGAAGAAAAAATTGATATATAGAACAAAGTTAGTCACTCCTGTTTTAGATTATCTACTAAACTCGAATCCACTTTCTTCGAAATGTGGGAGGAAAAAAAAGTTCAACGACTTTCGACCCCATAGCTTTTTCAAGATTCGAAAGAGCTCTTGTTGGACTATTCGTTCGTCCTAAAGGAATTTTTCTCAAATACTCGCACCGGAAGCGGACACAGAGCCTGTTCTGACCCTACGGCAACCTCGATTAGTGATCTAAACTTCGATGAACTTGGGATTCGAGACTCCACCGGGATATGCGATCTCTTCTCTTCTCTTCTCTTCTTCTATCTTCTATCTTCTCTTTCCTCGAGGATTCTCTTAGTCCTTTCTCGAAGGATCGCCAGTAAGATCCGGTTTATCTTTACTACCCTGCTCGGCAGACGTTTCTTCGTGTGGAACTCGATTAAACTTCCATTGCAACTTTTACGAGACACTGTTGGAAGCTTAGGAGAGTAAACGATGGCGAGTCCTACCTGTTATCCGCCATGAAAGCCCTTTCCGAGAATGCGCCAAACTACTGGAATATAATAATCAAATGAAAAATTATTCTAACTCATTTAAACTTAACAGTTAATTAAAAAAAAAAAAAAAAAATTACCAAAGTACTTTCTAGACTATAGAATATGCATAAGTCAACTATAATTATGTCGATGATCAAAGTAACAATAAGAATTCTTTATTATTTATTTTGTTTTAATGGGGCCAAATAACGATCCGATTAATCCATTTATATCTGTAATTAATTCAATCAAAATTTTATGCGATTTTAATTATAAATATAATTAAGAACGTTTGCGTGAAAATGAACAAAAGAATGCAGAAGAAAAAGAAATTCATGGAATAATAATCATCCTTCTCATATTTGTTAGGTACGTTGCATGTATCATTTTGCATAAAAATGAAATTGCCTGAGAAACACTCGAGAAGAAGAAAAGATCAAGAATAGAGGACAAAAATAGAGAGAACGTCATTCATGTAGATCTTTCGTGCTTGTCTACGACTCACTTCGGAATCTCATTTATCTCCGTTTCGTAAATTTCTCCGTTGGGGGAAGGTGCACGCGTCAATTGTATAGCACTCTCCTTGTATGCCACGAGAGTCGATGAGTTTATATGCCCTTACACGTCTCCTCAACGTGTCTCTTGCGCTTCTTTAAATCCCTAGAATCTTCATTTACGGTCCGGTTTATACCCTATGAGAAAATAGCTACAAATATGTCCGGTATAACATGACGCGTGACGTCAAATAATTTGTGCATTAAGCGTCAACCCTTTTCAACTGATTAAAGTCATCTTTTACAAATGTTAACTCTCTTCTTCTTCTTCTTTTCCTTCCCATTCTATTCTAACATCTCTTACATTATATGATCCACTCGTTTACATTTAACGAGTTCGTAACCCTTGTTTTCTTAAATTACTTAGAATTACTTAGAAATCTAACGAAAAAGTACTATTACTAGTACCTATCACATAATTTGATAGTTTAGTTTTATGAAAAGAATACAATTGTTAAGATTACTTACGGTAAAAATTCATGCGAGTTAATAACATCAAACAAATCAAGTAAACATTATCGAAATTTTGTTCATATCCATTTTATCCTTGCACACTTACTAATTGTATTACGAACAAATTCGATTAAAGCATACATATCGTCGGCCACAGGCGTGCACTTCTCTTTTTGATAAACCGCCATGTACTCTCTATGTATGTATACGGTACCTACTGGTCGATGTTTGCGAATATTTACAGGGAAATCGTTATAACGTTGAACGATTACTTTTGTTCCCTGCACGTCGCGTTAACGAATGATTCATTAAGTGCAATTTTACAAGGGTATCGGATATTATCGCGCATTGTTAATCTTTCGACGTGATAAAATATTAGTTCAGCTTTTGACCATCGGTTCGAAAATTGCTACGAGAAAAAGAAATTACGTAACCGCGAAATATCTGATCCATTATTTTGTTAAAATTTCTTTCTATTTCATTTCTCTCTCTTTTCTATTTTCTTTTTTTTTTTTTTTTTTATTTTTAATTTTACTGGAACATCATCTCTACCCATTTATCGATTCATTATCGGAATAATGTTAGATAGCCACTCATCAACGATAAGCTACATAAAAGCTACATAAAGGAGGATAAAAAAAAAAGCAAACAACCTGAAAAGTAACGATCAGTTAAGAGACTCTACATTAATGCCCTTCCCGAGAAATAACGTTGTAAGATAAAACCATAAAAACACTTAAAGCTGCAAAGAGAAGGAGTAAAAGGCTAATGCATTCTAAGCAATATTCCTATTTTTTCTTCCTTTTTTTTTCCCTCCCCCCTATTTTTCTTCCTTTTTCTTTAACATCAAATGATACTACGAAGAAAGAATTTTTTAATTAGTTAAATGAAACTCCTCAAAATGAAGATACACAAATATATTTTTTATTCTAATCCGATATAATATGAAAGGAAAAACTTACCGAAAAAAAAGAAGAAAAAAAAGACAAAAAAAAAAACAAGAAAAAATGGACAAAATTAATATTTGAAATGGATGTAACGTTCTCGTTACATCGTCTTTAACAAAAGAGAACGTATTAGAGGAATGGACGACAATAGAAAGCTCGCGGGTATAAAGTTAGACGCTAAAAAAGCTGGACGGTTTAGCTTTGCTTGAAAAAGAAAATAAAAACGAAGGGAATGGCGTTGCTTTTTGAAAATGAAGTCGAAACGTAAGAGAAAAAGAGAAAGAAAAAGAGAAAGAAAGAAAGAAAGAAAGAAAGAAAGAAAAAGAGAAAGGGGAAGGGATAGGGAGAAAAGTGGAAGAAGGGAAAAGGGATAGTTTAATACACCACGCAACATTGTATCCACTTTCACGGTGATTCTACTCTCTGGTCTTTCGTATACATCTACGTAGAGAGAGAAAAAGAGAAAAATATAGAAAGAAAGAGAGAGAGAGAGAGAGAGAGAGCTCAGTGAGCGCAACTGGGCTGCTCGTACTGAAAGAAAACAGTTTTGTTAATTATCCGACAAAAGCAGCAGGCCCAGTCCCACGCTTGGTATGCGCTATCAAATGGAACGTCACGTGTATGCTAACACACGCGCGCAAGCACAAGCGCGAACGTTGAAACAGTTAGAGAACGAATCGTGCACGGAAAACAAACTGTGGAAAGATCTTTCTCTTTCTCTTTCCTCTTTCCCTCTCTCTCTCTCTCTCTCTCTTTCTCTCTATCTGTCTCTCTCTCTCTCTTTCTCACTCACTCTCGACCACCTTGTTCTACGGGGTGATTCTTGGACGTTTGTCTCTGTTCCTACGTACATGGGCTAGAGATATAAATTAATCTTTCTCATTAAAGTTTTGCGATTGAAGCCGGGCAAAAAAAAAAGAAAAAAAGAGAGGAGAAGAGAGAGAGAGAATAAATGTAACGCACTAGAATAACCCCAACTTTCGTATTTTCGTTATAAAGAAGTATATATCTCGGATAATCGCAATCTTCTTTCTTCTTTACTGCCAATCTCAAATAAACTTATTAGAACGGGGGGCAGAACGTGAATATACAAAAAAAAAAAAAAGATTTGTTTTAGGTAGGCATATTTATACGCAACCAAACAACGGAATATATTTCATAACGCGAATTATCTCTCTCGTGAATAAAGTTGTTTGAATTATATTATTTGATAAATTTTTCTCTAAAATGAAAAGAAATGAAAAGAAAAGAAGAAGAAAAAAAAAACAAAAAGGAAATAATATGCTTATCTTCTCCGCGTTTAAAAAATATTCCACAAGTGTCAAATAATTTCGAGTAAAATGCGAACGCAATAATAATGATAATAATAAATACAATCAATTTAACTTTTTTTTCCAGGCTAAAATACTCGACGTTAATTTTGCTTTGATTTTTATTATTAATTTTGTTTTTTTTTTTTTCTTTTTCTTTCCATTCTCATAACCATTTTACTTCGTATCTCTTAAAATTTAGTCGAAAATTTGAAAAACAACCCGGTATATACCCATCTACCATTCCCTTGGTGTTAGCTCGTGCGCGCCGCGTATTCACACAGATGTAAATTGTTCTAAAAACAAATGAACATTGTGAAAAGCACAGAAAAAATAAACGTAGTTTTAATCCTTGCGCCGAAGAATAAAACGAGCTTTTCTCTTCTCGTTCTGGCCATGCTGTTTAGTCTAACACGCACGTATGCTTAACTCTTATTTCTGTCTCTCTCTCTCTCTTCTCTCTTCTCTCGTCATCATCATCATCGTCGTCGTCGAGGTAGTGGTAATCGTGGTCGTGGTCGTCGTCGTCGTCGTTTCGGAGTTGCATGAAAGAGGAGAAAAAATGAAGCACGGTAAATAACCACGGAAGGACGGTAAACAGTCGTTTTCTTTTCCACGGTGACAGAGCGTAGTTAATCCTCAAGCTCGTTGTAACGTTCTTGTTTCGCGTCGAAAGCTCGACCGAGCATTACTTCGAGTACAAAGAACGAATACAAGCACGCAGTATATGATCGAGGTGAATACCTAACGAATCTACTACTTTTTCTCATACGTATTCCTATGATAAATAATTCACGAAAGAATCACGAATATTCCTAATAACAAGATCGTTTAAAAATAATCTTACATGATAATATTATAATACATTACACTCCCCACCCCTATATTTAGATATGTATATAAACGCGTTAAAAAGAAAAAATATGATGTTTATCGTATAATAAAAATCTACCATGAACTTTGATACGAATGTAATAATCGATCAAAGTTTTTCTGAAGAAAATATTTTTGTAATAATAAATAAATTTATAATATTTTCTATAGTAGAAATATCTTCCGTTTATTTGCTTCAGGACAAGACGCAGGAATCGTTCTGTCGCCGGTAATTGGAGTGATTGTTGGCGCTTTGGTTAGCATCAGTGTAATCATTTTGGCGGTCGTCATACGAGTGCGAAGGGAATGCATCTCGAAACCGCGACACGAAAAGCCGGCCGAACTTAGTGAACTACCAGCACAACAATATCCTATGCAGAATCTCCAACAGACCGTAGAGACCGATCCTGACGTTATACCAAATAAGTTTGGTAGGTTGTTCGATAGATCAGCCATTCTAGAAATGCATTTCCCTGTCATCGAGGGAAGGAATATTCGTGTAGATTTGGAAATCGCTTTTCAAGATTTTAATTGACGATATAAAACGATAAATCAAAATAAATAGAATAAATATATAAAAGATATAAAAAATACGATGATACAGTATGAGACGTGAAAAGCGATTTAATTGGAGATTCGTGTGTGTATAAATAAAATTGTATCGTGTTTACTGTTTCAGAAGGTATTCCCGTCGAAGTCAGTCCACCGAGTTATCCAGCTGGGTATCCCCCGGGACACTGGGTAACACCCGGACCTACGCCAAGTATAGACGAGCTTTGTCACAAATTTAGCGGTAGGCCAACGGAACTGAGGTTACCCTCGAGAAGTACGATACCGGTGCTACCGAATATGCCGATTACGGGAGTCGGAGTGATTGTTGGTACCGGTCAAGGTGGTGTCGTAGTTGGTGCTGGAGGTATTACCGGTATCAATACGCAAGGTGTTGTCGTAGGTGGAGGTCAAGGAGTAGTCGTGGCTGGCGAATGTCTCGACGGTGAAGCAATCAAACGTCGACTAATGGCCAATAGGCTTCCTGAGAGCTGTGTTTAGGCCGAAAAATAACGGGGAATGTCGCGAAAAGAGCCAACGACGAAATTTGAATGAAAGAAAGAAAGAAAGAAAGGGAAAGTAGAAGAGAGAAAGTTGAAGAACAAAAAATATTATTTGTCACGTATACCGCGTTAAAACAATCGCGATGGAAAAGAAAAAGACAAGATCCGCCCCTATTGTTTTCAAAATACCTTCTCTCTATAACCAAAGATATCTCTTACGGAAAAAGAAGAAAGACATTGAATGGAAAGGGAGTCGCAAGCTTGCTAAAACTTTCCTCGAGAGTTTCTGCGAACGTCCCTCCCTCCTCCTCTTACTATCTTCGAAAAGACGCTGAGAACTTTCCTTACTTCCTTCTGTTTTCCCTTCTCGATGTAACTTTTCTCAGTTTCTATCTTTCCGCTTTCTCTTTATCTTTTACCTCTTATTCTTTGTCTAACTCTTATTCTCTTACTTTCTTCTTTTAACTATCAACTTTGTGAACCGATGATCTCCAATAGCAACGTTTTTAATTTCTATCCGTGGATAAGTAATTACATTTATAGAATATCTCTCTTCAAGTTTAATAATCATTATTTTTATTTAACGAAAAATCATGGGAAATATTTCAATGCTTTATTTTTCTTATTGCTAAAAACAAAACGCTGTCGCATATACTCTTTTTCTTTTTATTATTATTATTATTATTATTATTATCGACCCACCTTACCTTCGGAAGGCGAAAGACGTAAATGTAACTACGTGTAAGCCTACCAATCACGTCGTCGAGGCCTGAAAGTATCAGACCACGAAATGCGAGAAAAGATAAAAGGCTCTCGAACGACCCCTTTTCTGGTGGCTCGAATGAAGATGGATGAAGGAAGCGCGTCAAGATATACGTTGGAAAGGAGAATGAGAAAGCGAAGGAAGAAAAGAAAACGAAATGAATCGAGAGATAGGGTAAAAAAAAAAAAAACAGGAGAGAAAGAAATAAAAAGTAAAGGGTGGAAGGGAGAGGAACGGAACGAAACGAAACGAAACGAAAAATATCCTGATGCTATTCTGACGCATGCTTTTAAAAGCACGAAGAAGATGATTTTAAAGTTAACTGATCAATTTGCGATATCAAAAGAAATCCTTTCTTTTGTAGTTTCTATTTATAAACCTCGATTCTTATCAGCCTCGCTTGAATTTCTTATATTCTAAATTAATATCTATGAGAAAAATTGATTATTATTATTATTATTATTATTATTATTGATTAAATTATTGTTTGCCTCTCTGGTTTTTTACTTTCAGAATTCTCATTACATGTGCAAAACAAAAAAAAAGGGAAGAAAGAAAAAAAACTATCGTTCAATCAAGTCTCTCTGGTCTTTTATAATAATAAATTAAATTTCTTTTCTCAGCCTGGTACAAACGATTGTTTAATTAAAAATGAAGAAAGAAATACGACGAGAGGAAATTTAGCAAAAATTGCATTAGAAACGAAGAAGATGAAGGAAAATGATTTGAAATGCGCGATGAAACATATCTTCTATGGTGGAAAATGGAACGGGGAGGAGGGTTGGGGGTGGGAAACGGGGCGCGCGCAGGATCGTTAGAAATTTGTTTGGAAAGCTAAATCTCTCATATCCCTTGAAAAAAAAAAAAAAAGAAGAAACAAAAACAAAAACAAAAAAGAACAAGAAAAGGAAAAGAACAAAAAAGATAACCAGAAAAATGCAGTGAAACAAATGGTGTTAGAACGCTCTATCCGACAATAAAGTATGTACCCGAGGGAGATAGAAAGTTTACGAGTAAGATTGGTGTAACGTGCTCTTCCCAAAGCATCGAAAATTATTTCCAGTAAGCTCGACGGGTTCTGGACACGAGAAGAAGGTCTTCGTATTTTTATCAATGTAAAAAGTAAATGTTTCTAATGTAAGTGTGAAAATACCATCGACTTTAAAAATAAAAAGAAAAAAAAAAAGAAAATTCAACTGAATATAACTCAATAGCCAAAAAAAGAAAGACGATAAACTCATATATCATACTCTATACCATAGATCGATAATTAAAAGAAGAAAAAAAAACTAAGGAAACACAAGACATTTACCGGAACACGAATAAATACGGACAAACGAGAGAGATAATGTTACTTATTAATATTAAAAGAAGAAAAAAAAAAAAAAAAAAAAAAAAAAGAAAAAGAAAAGGAAAAAAACAATTTCGTTACTATTGTCGCGAGTGACCTTTACACGTAAAGCGCAGGGTATGTACACGCATTTCGATAACATGCTGCTAACTACGATACGTGTATACCTAATTAAACTTTAGATGCGCGTGCGTTTTTTCTACTACTGTAATAATGTTTTGTATTGCGATCGATGATGATTCATTCATCCGAAAAAAATACACATACACACGCAACAGACAGACAGACACAAACATACACACATACATATAAAAATATACATGCGTGTCCCTATCTCATAAAACGCAATTCGAATATTGATTTGTTATTTTGAAAATAATCTACTTGCGTACGCATGACGATTGAATGAAATTTAACGATAATCTGATTATTCCTCGTGTACATATAAAATGAATTAAACATAGGTAGGGCGATCATTAAAACCAATCTAATATAATCATCATCGTTTGGTTTCATCGAAACCATTGATGATTAATTCGTGCATTTTGCATCCTGTAATTGTTTCATTGTTTGACTTGATTTTCCTGAAAAGAAAAAAATGAAAAAAAAAAAGACAAAAAAAAATAAAACGATATGAAAATATAGACCTAACGTGTATATTTGCATAAACGAAGAGCAGAAATAAAATTTAAAAAAAAGAAAAAAAAGTAGAAGGAGAAGAAGAAGATGAAGAAGAAGAAGAAGAAGAAGAAGAAGGCGGCTCGAAGGGCATTTATCCTCGTGTGAAAAATTCAATTTATAAGGTCACAAACATCGGGCTTCCACGTGATATTTTGCGACGGAACCTTGGAACGGTCGGAGGGAGGCTTGGCAGGCAGCAAGTGGATGAAAATGTGACGAAATTTAATCTTATGCGAACGAAATGACATGAATTTAATCTGTCTAACATAAGACTCTTGCTCAAAGTGATTATAAATCTTAATGTATAAAAATAATTTCTCAAAAGATTGAAAGAGAAGGAGAGAGAGAGAGAGAGAGATAGAGAGAGAGAGAGAGAGAAAGAGAGAGAGAGAGAAAATAATATAGAAAGAATATAGAATAAAAAATCGATTAATTTCTCGTGTGAACGATAACAACGAGAATAAATGATAAATAAATGGGTTCGGGCGAAATTTCGAGTGTCTGTTTCTATGTATAATAAAAGAAAAGTAAAAAGAAAAAAAAACCGCGTATGATCGTTACTCGTTAGCTGATGTTGTGTCGCTGTATATATTATCGTTAAATCGATTAACATACTGTAAATTTAAGTTCGAAAGTGATGAAGTGTCGAACGTCGTTGTACCTCCATAAGCATCGGCTATAATTTAAGCAAGTTCTTATCAAATAAGTAGTTGGCCAACAATTTCCTAGAAACAGAGAGAGAGAATTACAAACAACGTATATATTTACTATACGTACGACTATCCATCTTGCGACTGTAAAGTTTGGCGATACCAAAACTACGAATCACTTTTCCATTAGGTAAATTTTGGCCTCGTTTAAGGCATACTCTCTACGGTCACAAAATTAATTTACTTTCGGAGTGGACAATAAAACTCGGATGGTATTAGTCGAAAATAATGATCAACGTATTTTAAACGATTATCCGATTCATATCATTATAAAAAAAAAACATTTGACTATACATATCTGACTCTCGCCGATCGTCGTCCATAAACATGAACAAAAAAATATATATTCATTCAGTCAAAATCGACGAAGAGATTTATTATAAATAATTAAAGGTACCCATTGTGCTACCACAACATGAGGACAATTTTCGCAAACGATTGGGGGATTTCATATATTCCTAGAATTTTCACTGCGATACTAAAATGTAAAGGTTCTAAAATACTCGCAATTTTAAGGCTATAAAACTCTTACACCGGTGACAACATTTTTCCTGGTCTGCAAATGCTTTCCAAATGAGATCAAATCCAAAAGAAAAGAAAAGAAAAGAAAAAATAAAACGAAAATATCGTTAAATAATTGAGAAGATAATAGGGAATAGTAATTGTACATAATTCAATACTTGTGAGAAGAAAAAAAAAAGAATGAGAATAAAATATCAAGTCCATGTAAATCGACGAACAAAGCCACGTTTTAATTTCACTGTATAAGTGATTTCATATCAAAACTCCATCATATCGTCAAATAACTCGTATGTATATATATTACATAAAATTTCGATCTGAATAAACTGTTTAACTGTCCAAACTGCCTAAAAGTGTTTACAGTTTCAATAACTCAAAATATCATCTTCCTAATATCCTCTATTTATTGTTTAATTCGAAATTACTTTTTTTCGTTACGAAAAAAAAAATAAAGATTAATTAAATGAGACTTTTTCTACTTTTTTTTATTAGTAAAATCGTATTAAATATATATTACACAACGAATACTATTTATTATACTATCTGGATTCTTGCAGGTGAAACAGATAGCCGTAAGAACGATCGTAGTAAAATATTGATCATAAAGTTCCACGATCAATCGTCATTAATGAAGTTATATTATCCTGAGAAAACAACAGCGTACATCGTTAAAGCTCCTAAGCTATCGTACTTGTTAATGACCTGTCGTAGAAAAAACCACCTGGATTTTCGATCGTAATTAAACTAAGATTGGTTCGCACTTATAATTTCGGTATTGAACGCTTTGCTTTTTTGAAATATCAATTCAAAGTTTTGATCAAATTTGTAATTATAATTTGCGGCAACAGAAACAGGAGAATTTAACGTTTTCGATGATAATTAAAATATAAACGACCGATAAAGAAAACGATTATCTTTCGTAAATGCAAATACATATCTGGGATTTGTAAAGAAAACATCAAAATCTTTTTTTCTCTACGCGAAGGAAAGAAGCCAAAAAAAAAAATAAAAAGAAAAGAAAAGAAAAGGAAAAAGAAAAAAGATACATTTTTACAGTTATAGAAACGTGTATCATAAAAATCGCTTGATATGCAAGCTCTGTGTAAAATCCCTTGTGTGCCCTTCAGGTATACCGGAAAAAATGAAAGGATCATGCGCAGAATTTTAATCCTGGCTTATACTCTGCATACTCTCGCGAGCGTGTATCTTTCTCCATATGCGAATGAAAGAAACATCTCAGGAACGTCCCCGGCGTATACTAACCAAAGGTCTTAAAAAATCTGTAGAACAGGCGACATAAGCTAACAGTCCTTCTTCCTTTTTTCCTTTTTACCATTGCTGCAGAATAATCATATGAAAGGTATTTTTAAATATTATATGACATTAAGATTTTCTTTGATCTAAAAACACTACAAATAAATATTAATGTCCATATCATTAATAGAAATATATTTGTGTAACAACAAAAGTACACACGTATCTGCACATATTACGGCAGAAAGTCAATTTACTCGAAATCCCTTTACGGGGTTTATTTTACGACGTGATTTCTTCGGGTATTACGAGAAAAACTTGAACGTTGAGACATTGACGTTGAAATTCATTTCACCCCGACAAAACAAACATAAATATTATAGAATACCAAATTCACAATACAAGATAAAATTTGATAAAACATATATCATATAGTTTGACCTATTATTTTCAATTCCCGAATTTTGTAATATTATATGAATATATGACATTTATTCGATCTATCGATCATTCCTCGAAGATCTACAAGAAAAAAGATCGAATAAGCATAGAGTCTGTAATTTTCTAAAATTAATTAAAACATTAATTATACGAGTACTTCTATTAATTATCCCTTGTCAGTATAATCATTCTCGATCGTTTCTTCACTCGTCTTTTCTTGCCTAAAGAGAACAGTCGATAGCTTTCGATGAGCTTTTTGTGGTATTTCGACGAGAACATTCATGATCCTAAAAACCGCACGATTATATTTTTGAACTAACGAGTACCTTGCGTTTTCTAATCGTGGTATATTGATCTAAAACAAAACAAATAAAAAAAGAAGAAAATGTAAGTATTCATGAGAATGGTACAATAATGCGAATAAAGCAGCAACCACGAAGAATGCTACGTGTATTTACTTTGTCAATGTCTGGGAAAAATGGCAATGTACCATCCGTGTACATCCAATAGAAAAGAGTGCTTACGATAGCACTTTTCAATATAAAACCTACCATTTGGAAAAATATTTGATTTCTCGTCCTGGGCTTTGGTTTCGATGGACACACGCATATCTAAAATTATAATAAAAATGTAAAAATACAATTATATATGTCAGGAAATTCCGAGTATAGAAAATTCGGATATTGTTGTGCACAAGGGAGGCGATCGTTCAAACGTCCTCCTCAAGAGAATTGACAAATTCTAGGATAATCTATTGAATAGTTTGACAGATAATAAGCTTGGCGATATGTTAACTACCATTTGTGAAGTCACGTAGGGACATGTCTCTAATGAGTATAGGTTTACAGACCGTTCTCTTCCATTAGAGAGCAATCGACGTCGCTATACCTCGACACCATCCGTCGAACTAATTCGAAGTAAACGTTACTAGCTATCGACTAACTAATTCTGTACAAGCATTGGGACAACATCAACCACTTGTCCACCTTGTCAGGAGTTGGGTGTTCCAAGGTAAGTTAGTGTCATCGTATAAGTGGACATGTCTCGTAACTTATCCACTTAACAAGAAGGGATTTAAAATACTTGCAAATTGTCTTACAAAGAAAAAAACTATCTAACATTAAATTCTTAAACGATTAATTTGCTAACAATATCAAATAATCCAATAATTATTAACCCTTTTTCCTTTGGTTAATTTTATAAAATAAATACTAAAAACTAAGTTTTACTATTACAAGAAACATATACGATCGTGGTATTTTTTTTTATCGAATTCTATAATTTTCTTTTTTATATGGATTAACCTAATCGACTTCTATCGATTCAACGATCTTAAAAGTGAATTCGTTCGAAACGCAATTATTAACCTTTTTTAATGTAAAATAAAATCACACATTTCCAAGACAACGACGATTCATATCGACCCACGTGCAATTTGCTTTCCTGCTCTTTCTAATATTAACGCTCACTTTCGTAGCCAAGAGTTCGATTAAAAGCTGAGAATTTACGTAAACCACTAAAACTTGGGCATTTACCCTTCGGCTTCGGTTCAAATCGTTAGATGTATTGAACACGTTAAGTAAAGACCTACTTTCCACTTCAACAGTTTGTATATGTTCATGATGGTTTCGAAACGTTGTCAAACTTTTCGATTACAAACGACAAATTTAACGATTGGATGCACTTTGTATGCATAACATGTACAAATTTAAGTCACATAAACAAGTTAAGGGTTGAAGGTTTCCTTTGACTTGAACACTAAAGCAGACCACTAAGAAATGATCAGAATCAATAATAAACTTAGGTATACTAATTTTTGTTATTATTTCTTTGACGAAGAATCGATTCGATATCGTTTCGTAGTTTTTTCTTTTTCTTACCTTTGGTGGACATATTCTTTCCATATCCTTTCTCGTACAAATTTTAATGTTAACTGGCTTCGGGGTCCAATAAGAAGAACTTCCATGTTCAAAATGGGGACACGATTCCACTAGTTCTGCACTGACAAGTTTCTGTATCTGCTTTGGCTTGTTTGGAACTGATAGGTTGATGGCCCGCACTATACACTTCATTCTTTCCTTCATCTTCCTTTTTCTATCATAAGTCTCGGTGAAATCTTTTTTCAAGATGCTTAACTATCTTTGAAAATATTTTTGCAGGATGAACAATGGCTATTGGTACGAAATGAAAATTGATAAAAATTGATCACAAGCTTTCCTCGATAGATAGCACTTTCGACGTACGTTCATTGATACGAAAAGAGTTTCATAAAAAGTAACGTATCTTAAATTAATAAAATAACATTTTTGTACCGAAAAGACGTTTGCAATATTACGCAAGGGTTAACATTCGGATGGATATTAAACTTTCTTACGATATATATTGAAATTACATCGAATATTTACTTACTAGATCATATATTCAATAAAAAAAATAAAAGGCTAACTTCTCTATCCTAATATATATCTCTCATATCAAATGAAAATAATACTACGGAATTTTGACAACCATTGGGAAACCAGAAATTTTTACATTTTACACAGTTCGCTCGAAATAGTCTTTCGATATTCAGCTATTCTTTTGTTCGATAAGAAGTGGAGATTCTCTTCTTTATGCGGCCTTCATACCCTGTGATTTATAACTCCGTCTCTTTTGCAAACAGATCGAGTTTCTCAGTATGCAGACTGAGGGCCGCAAAGAATTCTTACCATACTATCCTACCTACAGTCAAATAAATCAAAAAGAACCGATGCATTTTATACGTCGATATAACGTTTACCATTATTTCCCCTCGCTAACAATTTTATTACGTGCATATTTAAAGTATTATTAAAAGCTGATAAAAATTATTATTATTATTATTATTATTATTATTATTATTACGAGACATCCTCCAAAAAGAATATTTTATAAAAGGTAAACACGACTATCTTAAGAGATAGAGAGATATGATATAAATAAGTCAAATTTAATAAGATATTGATAAGAAAAGTTTCAATAAAATATCTCACTACGATACCGATCTGTAATCATAGGAATACAACCTCCTACCAACCAGCTTATTCGACGAACGATATTTATATGTTTGCTTGGTGCACATTATGCATTTTCTTGCTGCAAAAATAATTATATATATATATACTCTGTTTCCTTTTCTCGATCTAGGACTCCAATCTGGATATAATGAAAAGGAGCGATAGTATATAGGCAGAACTACGCGCGCATATAAAGCACGATGAGAAGGAAAAAGGGAAAAATAGTAATATACGACGAGTAGTACGTACTCCAACGAGTTTCTTTTCCGAATCTTTTCCTATTTCTTTCTTTTTTTCTTTCTTTTTATTTTCGATCCAAAAGAAAGTTTTTAACAAGAATAAAAAAAAAAAAAAAAAGAAAAAAGAGAGAAGGAAAAAACAACCGAAGGTTAGAAAATACGAGTAATAGGGAAAATAATGTTACATGGATAGATATGGATATGTGTATTTAGGTATAATATAATATGCTCGACACGACGGTAAATTTAAATATTCCGAGACCCTTATAAAAGATTACGAGTACCTTAAAAAGTATAAACATTTTGTATGAGAAAAAGAGAAAAAAAAGAAAAAAAAAAAAGGAAAAAGAAAAAAAAATGTCGAATACATCGGACTGGCAATTTGTTCGTGGATATAAATCGTCGATATCAGCTCTACCTAGTCGCAAGTTGGAGAGCCATCCGAGCGACATAGATCACTTTTTATCGCGAGATGCCACTGGTCCGATGTGTATGCTTATTAATAGACATCCCAGCACCCTTAGATCCCCCGCGTAAAAATATGGCCGCGGGTTCGGCCAGAAAACGAGGAATTTTTCCAGAGGGTAGAAGAACGCAGCGAGAAGGGTGGAAAGTACGAGTAATATTCTACTAGGGCGAAAGAATAAACGGGAAAAGAGAATGGAAACGAGAGGTCGACCGAGATACGATAAATATATATATACACACGCACACACATACGTACGACTAACGTATGCGTGCCGTACGCACACGTATCTCTTTACGAATAATATTATGTATGCGTCTGTATGCGTATTACAGAAAAACACATTTCCAAATGACACTGTTACCCCTGGCAACGCTACTACACTCGTCATTATTCCGAATTATATATATCTTCCTGGAGATGGTGGTAGAAAAAAAAAAAAAAAGAAAAGAACGTTACAATTAATTAAATCTTTTTCATAAAAATTTCAAGATACCACGCCGATGGAACGATATTAAACGGGCATTTTGTGAGCAAAAGATCGATCTGTTTTTCGAAATAATACTTGAACGGGTCGGAAGATCGGAGGGAAAACAAAAAAACAAAAAAAAATGTTACAAACTACTATTCATCTTTCAAGTCGAAAAACCGATCGATCAGTCGTGTCAACAAACTGCGCTGCTGCCGAACGTATGCCCTATTCATTTTATTCTCCAAGTTTTTTTCCTTATTTTATTACGAAATAAAAAGAATAATATACACGCAAATAATTGAAATTTAATAGGCGATAGATTAAGGATATGCTCTATGCTTAACACGTTCACGGACACGTGAATGCTATAGCACACAAATTTTACATTTTTATTTTCAATTTTATCTTATATATAACCTTAAGTTTTTGTAATTATTATATCTGTAAAGGTAATGACTAACTAACTGATTCTTTAATATACGATAATCCGACTGCCCTTATAAAATGTATGTTTAATCAAATTTTAGATATCACAACTAATTTAAAAATCAAATGACTCTTACTTTTTTTCCCCTCGCCGAAACTTTTACTGTCCGCGAACGTGTAACCGATATTTTAAGCAATTATTTACGACGAATAATATTCTTCGTTCTTAAAAATATATAAGGGATTTATAAGCTCTTTTCGTATCTCAATGACGATTCAACGAATCATTTTATTCGTATCTTTTAACAAAATAAAGAAACTTTAAAATTTGCTCAATTTGTCAGATACGGAAGACTCCTCCCCCCACTCCGTATTCCGTATTTTTTTCTTTTTTTTTTAATTCTTTCTTCCTTCCTTTCTTTCTTTCTTTCTTTCTTTTTCTCTTTCTTCTTGCGTTCTTTTTCCTGTTTTCTTTTTCTTTTTCTTTTTTTATCTTTTATTTTATTTTTTTTTTTTTACGAAACGCACTGAAAACCTGCGGAGAATTTGTTCGTAAAATGCATACTCGTCGAGGTGGAAATTTCGAGGATGAAAAGAGGTGCCGCACCGCCACGACGAGTGGCGCAACAAAAAAAGACGATAGGGAAGGAAAACGAACGACTCCTAAAGGAAAGTTTGAGGGTGTTGGGAAGGAGCAGCAGCAGCAACTCGGTGAAGTAGGGAGGAGCAGTAGGGTGGAGGAGAGGAGGAGAAGAAGGAAGATGGGAACGCACGAAAGTAGGATAGAGAAGACTTAGAAAAGGGAAAAAAACGGAGAGGGAGAGAGAGAGAGAGAGAGGAAGAAGATAGTAAGAGCTATAGTAAAAGAAGAAAGAGAAAGAAAGAAAAAGAGAGAGAGAGAGAGAGAGAGAGAGGGCTATAAAGAAATGGAAGGATATTAAGAAAAGGAAGATGTAAGGCGCATAAAACTCGACTCGCAGCTAAAGAAGACGGTAATTACCCGAAGGAAAAAAGCGCACATCAACGGCAATCAGGCTATAATTCCTGAAATAATTAATTTATAATTAGGAAAAGCCTTAGATCACGTGACACCGCGGTATAATCTTCAAGAAAAGTTTTTCCTTTTTTTATCTCTCGCGCTCTCTCTCTCTCTCTCTTCTTTTTTCCTTCTTTTTTTTCCATGAACGATAGTATTCGACTCTTTAAATTTTTTTATTTAAAATGAATAATAAAAAAAATTGCAAAGGATTACCAGTAATTTATGCTCGATGTTTCGAAATCGTATCAGATAGATTATCGGAACACATTTGAAAACCAAAAAAAAAAAAAGAAGAAGAGAAAAAAATCAATAGTTAAATTTTGATCAAACGAAAAAACGCAATTACGAGAATCAATGAATAAATTTTATCTTATTTAATAATTCTTTTTAAACCGATTACACTCCCCCCCCCCCAACCACCAGCACCAGCACCCTGTTATTCGTATTCACACGTCTAATCGGTGGAAATCAAAAGAAGAAAAGAAACATATGTGAAAATGCCGATCGCAAACGATAAAAACAAATTCACGAGGTACTTTGTTGTAACGATAGACATTAAGGAAACCGCCAAGAGAGATCGTAGACCTAACTATTGGATATTTTCTAAATGAAAAAAAAAAGTAAGAAAAAACAAATAAAACTCTAGAGACTTAAGAAATAAGATAAAAAAGTAAGGATCAGAGGGAAAAAGGGGTCGCTTAGGAAACTAATTTTCACGATATTAGTCTTACGAAATTGGTTATTGATGTTCCATTCGTCGGCCGATAATAGCGAAAGGAAGCGAATCCTTCCGGAATATCGTAAGTCGGGAAGGGTCGTGAATCCTCGGCACCTTTTATACTGTATAAGTACTTACACCAAATCGTCTTTTTTAAAAAGAATGACGTTAAATCGACTTTTCTCCTCTTCTTCGAAAGAAAACAAAAAAAAAGAAAAAATAGATGGAAGGATCATCGGCGTCCTGCGTCCTGACAAATATTTCACGCGCGACAAAACACATTTGTTTAATATTTCCTCCATCTTATATCCTTCTTACTCTTTTTTATCCTTGTTCCAAATCATATTTCGTAAATGATACTTGTATAATATATTTTACGAAATCACGGTATAAAATTATATTGATAGAGACGCGTACATTATTTTCTTTCGTTTTTCGAATAAACGAACCGGTTCGAATTTTCTGGCGTATTTCCAAGAATTCCTAAGCCCCCACCCACCCCGCTTCACAGACACCCACCACCGATCCCTCTCTACGCGTCTTTAGCACACTGTCCAAGAATTTTCCCGGAAAAATTCCGGGAAAATTTGCGAGCCAGTGGAAAAATATTTACTTCCAAGCAACGTAAAGCCGATATATCTCAATAAAATACGATATTACGAGGTGGTGGCGGTGAGAAAGAGGCGCATGACGACCACATAAATCGATTTCCTATGCGATCATATCAGTCGTTGAACGTCCAAGGGCTCTCCTACCGCCGCCCACTTCTTTCCAATCTCCGACTTTACCTCTCTTCTTCTTCCTTTTCTCCTCACTCTCTCTTTCTCACTCACTCAGA